TTAAACGTTCTTTCAAGATCCTATCTAATTTTTATTTATACCAATATTTCGAGCATTTGGAACACTCGCGGATGAGATGTTGCATATTGACGGGTTATTAGAAGAAGACCTTAGTTCCTTTTTTTTTTTATTGTTTCATTGATATCTACTTATGAAAATGTTATTGTCTAGGATAAATCGCTTGATAACTATTTGTCATTTTTTTTAACCCATTGAATTTAGATGTTTTAATTCTTGTTTATTATTCTTATGTTTCTAAATTGCTCGACATGTTTTCAGTGTATTATAAATTATCCCACAGAAATGCATATATACGAGTATTTTTGTTAACATGAAATTTATTACAGATTATCTATGACTTAATAAATTCTCGTAAATATTCTAAATTCAGCCACAAAGGTTATCGTAACCTTTACCAGTCTTCTTAAATAACCATTATTTTAATAAACATCATTATTCGTGGACAATATTTATTGCGTAAAATAAAATAACACGAAAACAGAGATTTAACGGAAGAAAAATAAATGGATACAGTATTTCCAAACGTCCATCTACATTGAAAAATTTTAACGAACATTCTCCGAACAAGATTAATTCTAAAAGTTAAGGAAAATTACTGTCATTTATTTTCCCGTAAAAGAAAATTGCACATGCTACACAAAATTTATTATACTATTAATATTTATACGAGAAAACAATGGTACATATCAGACATATTTACCGTATCATTTCCTTTTCCATATCTGTCTATTTCTCACAAATAAACCACAAACTAACCAAAGCAAAAAGAATGCAAAATTCAGAAAAAGAAAGAAGAAAAAAAGAAATACAACCAAATCATACTTACTGTCACACTTCGAAACGACGATAGACCGAAAGTGGCCACATATTGAACGATCAAATTAGGCAGAGGGAGTTTCTTCCAAAAGAAGTTTATTCTGTTCCAACATTTTTAAAGTGAAAATTTATTCGAACGGTTCCGTGTTAATGTGGTACTGCAACTCATGCTCACCGGGAGGCTGACAATAATGCACGGGATAAATCGCGGCATGTTCGTAGTAAAAATTCTCACGATTAATAGCGCACACAGAAATTCGCGAACGTGTATTTACTGTAATAATAGCGATGCGGAGTACTGTGTCTAAACATCGTCGGATCTTTATTCCATTTTATTATTATTATTAATATTACTATTACTTCTTATCTTCTTTTTCATTTTTTTTTTATTTTTTTTGTTTTGTTTTTTATTTAATTCGTTACACTGTCCATGTGTTTACTGATTATCCGTGTCCTTTGTCCTACTCGTGGACTTCCGTTTCCGCTAACCACTTACACGTCGAGACAGTAACATACTCGCATGTTGTGTCTTCGATTCAAATCCACAAATAATCCCCTCTTGATTTTAAGTACAGTTTACCTCTATCTTCGAATGTGTATGAATGTACGTGTAGGTGTGTGTTAATATTGTATAACGTATCGACTATGTACCGTGTAAAATTGCACGATTCTTATTATGGCGAAATCGTTCGTACCTTTTTCCTTTCTCTGTGTAAAAAGGTTTCTTCTCATTATTCGTTATGTACTTCGTTAAGTAAAATCCCTGAAAGTGTCTTCAGTGGTCATGATTGCACAGCTGCTGTTGTTTGTGTGCACAATTTCAATACGAACTGCCGTTCGACGTGTGTAGAAATTTTTGTTGGTGGTTCAACTAACGGTGTAAACGAAGTTTCGCGAAACTACGCGAACTATTTGCCGCCGTACTTAACGCAATAATTTTTCACAATTTACGATGGCTCTCTTGTTTCTTATTTCAGCAACGGATAGATAATCTAATCGACTCTTTTTTTTTTCTATTAAATTAAGGCATCTCGAAATTGAGAATCGGAAATTACATCGTTAATCTACGCTCGAATCGCAATTATTGCCATCGACAGTATTCGATTCGTTCAATCAAGCGACCAACATTGCAAACGTAGCTTAAAAAATCTTTCCCTTCTTGTTCATTGCAGTATGCGTCGCACAGTTTTAACTATTAAATTTACAATTTTCGTCGGTTTGTATACATCGATGCATTCAATGAATTGGAACTGAATTTTTTTTTTCTAGTGATACGCCAGTAATCGAACAAAAATTCGTCGCTCCGTAATTAGTGAGCGCATCTGCGTCGAGAATATTTATTGTCAGTAGAATTCTGACTAATCTACGCTAAAAATTATTGTTGGTCGATGAATTAAATAAAAAATAAATGCATTCATAGTGAAATATCAACGTCTATCTACGAATAAATATAAATAACTATGATAAAATAAATATAATATTTGGTTGTTAAAAGATCGAAAAAATAAATAGAATTCTATCGCTTATAAGTAAACTATAATTGCAAACTATCTAGACTGACGGAATTTTCCACATCTTTGTCACTTCTCGTTTTTCGTCTACGATCGACAGATCGTAGAACGTCGAATTTACTTCGTCCTTGTTACAGTAGTATCGATTCGATCCACGAACGAAGATCGGTTCAGTCAAAAGCGTATAAAAGTCACATTTCGAATCCCCAACGTTCCAAACAGTCTAACTATCGAATGAGATCTCTCCAGGCTTTTGTGGTTTAGGCTGTCACAGCTAAAACTATTAGACGTTTCCTGGTGTAATTAATGTTTTTCCCTTTTTCGAAGAAATGATCAATTTTATGTAATAAACTTACATTTCGTTGTAGGAATTTAAAGCTAGTAATTCGAATGTCGAGTAAAAAATAAACCCAAGACACATTGCTGTATAATGGAATTAAAAAAATATATGAAATAGTGGAGTAAAGGGAATTTATTTTTACATTTGCAATTTTCTGTTAAGCAATTTCCTTGTAGGGAAGATAAAAGAAAATGTAAAATTCCAATGAGACTAAAATACGAGGCAAGCGTAAGTACACCCGCGGATCTCTAACGATTTCAATTGCAATAACCATCGAGAATCCAGCCTATATTCTCTAGTATCCTAACGCCCCTCGAACATGACTAGCATCGTGATCGTACGAAACGATCAAAGCAAGAACGCGGTTAACTACACTTCACTGCGAAAAATGTGAAATGCTCGAAAAACAATGCCATTTAATTTCATTGCTTAATATTTTTCTTCCACTTCCAATGTTTCTCCTTTTTTTATATTCATTTCGCAAAAATTCCGTGATTTTCAAGAAAGACGAAAATCATCTACACTTTTCGCGTATTATAACATCCTTTTAATTTCTTTTCAAATTTAAAAAAAAAAAAAAACGAAGAATAATTTGAAGTGAAATCAAAGGACTTCTAAAAACACTGAAAATAGGAGAAATATTGTAGATAATATTTCTGAATTTAGTTTACAATATGTTTTTGCAATTATATTCTATACCTGTAATATCGAAATATTCGAAAATGAAAAATTTACCGAAATGATTGAATCGCAGTTCTTTACGTAAAATCGATAAAGTGTTCAACATTTTTCAAACCGAAGTGTGCAACGGTCGATGGAACGGTGATCAGGAATTGAAAGTACGCGCCGGAATCACGGTAAACTGCACGCACATATACAGAGCCCAATCGACGAATCAATTTCACGCTAACACCGATGTAACATTATGTACAAATTTATTAAAACAATGACTAGCAGTCGGTACGTCGCTCGTACCCCATCGATATTTCGCTATCAATACGTCAGGACACTAATCCCCTCCTCACTCTCTCCTTTTAATGGGCATAATCGTGAATGACCATAGACGAACGCACTTACTTACGTCTCTTTTGTATCATTTCTAGTTCACATTCGCGTAATCATATTATAACGCATTTAACTAAACAACTTGGCTATAGTAGTGGCCATAAGGACCAACCTGTTGTTAGAGACGCTTTTAATTGAAAATTTCACTCTTTTAAGGTTACGAATTCTTGCACTTTTGGTGTATAACTTTCGTCTGTTTCTGTTTTTTCGAAATATTCAGACTACTTATCTCCATTCTTATAAAACCAACATTGTCTACAATCACTTGGAGAGTTCCATATCACAACGTTGTGTGAAATTTTCAGAAACTGAGATAGCAACGCCGCAACGTTGTAAGTACTGTGTATTTTCGAAATATTCAGACTACTTATCTCCATTCTTATAAAACCAACATTGTCTACAATCACTTGAAGAGTTCCATATCACAACGTTGTGTGAAATTTTCAGAAACTGAGATAGCAACGCCGCAACTACGTTTACATTTCGAAGTGACGCCCGCCTCTGTCGATGCAAGCCTGATACTGAAATTTTGTCACGATTTTGTCTTGTGCATACTTCCCTATTGTACACATTTTCTTTTACAGTTCCCTATAAATAAAAATGTAGAGGTGCAAGGACAGGTGACCTAGGAGGTTAAGAGAATGGTATCGAATAATATCTTGTTCTGTATCGAACTAATTGTAAGAAAACGAGCGTTATCCTGTCTTTCATGTTTCATATTCTTTTGCTTATAACTTTTTAATCAAGCATTTTTGGACTTTTTTTTTATATGACATTTTAGTTTTACGTTTAGCTGTTGAATACGGAAGACTGTGAAACACCTTGCATACAAGTGCAACAAATCCTTTCGTTTTTCGCTTCTCCTGAAAATTTCACTTTTTGGTATTTGAAATGTTATGATTTGGAACCCTTCAATTGTAAACAAAAAATATCCCTATTCCCAGTTCCTGTAATTATCAGTCAAGTATACAAAAACAGTAATTGGAAGTACGAAATATGAAGCTTGATTTCCATTCACGTTAAAAAAAAAAAACTCGACTTCATCTCGCGAACAGTATTATACCAAAATTTTCCATAAGTACTACCGTTTCAATGTCCCCAACTGGCCAACGCTCACAGTCTCCACCATAGCCAGAAGCTGATCGAGGAAAACAAGGATGGTACGCGACAGTCGTCCATCTCTATCTCGAGGACTTACACTGAAAGAGACTCCCGGTCGACGAATGAGAGCATCGAAGCCTGGGGGCGTTGATTGGACAGAGAGAAGAGAAACGTACCCCGTCGAATCACCCTGACACTGAGATCAGCTTTGTGAAACCGACGTTCGAAACACCTTTAGAATGTCCAGCACCGTCAAACATCATCCAAACAACGCATCAATTGAAAAAATCGTCGTCGTCGAACGGGTCGTTCTCCCTGACGAATATGTTCACCGACTCGGACTTCCTAATGTACTGGTCGCTCCTAGACTTGTTACTGTTATTGTTATTACTACCAGCGGAATATTTAGCCTGTCTAGCGTAGTTCCTCAGAGGTAAAGTCGTCGCTCTGTCAGAAACGTTATCCTCCAATTCAGACTTGAAGACGAACGCATCGTCGTCATATCTGAGATCCCCGTTAAAAAACGAGTCTCGACCATTATCCTCAGACGTAAAAGCATCGCCAGCCTGCTGACCTTCTTTAGCCTCGCAGGGCATCTCCTCAGGCGTTGCCTTCAATTCTGCTGACAGCCTCTGCCTATCTGACGTATCGCTCATTCCACTAGTTGTGGGCGTCAGGTCGTCTTTAAAGTAACTCGACCTCATAGTATAATCCATCTGCATCTCCTTCCTCATCATATCCTTCGTGAATCTCTTACTGAAGGGTGGGCTCTGCGGCAGTGGTTTCTGCTCGTTCGCGTCTGATCTGACCCGTGGCTCCGCCGTGGCTATAGCCTCCACATTAGACGGATCTACGTTCTCCACGCTCTGAGCAAAATCATCTTCAAAGGGGCTCTGTGTCTTCACATGAGGCTGCCGTGGCTTGTGCCTGGGTATTCTCTTTCGGTGCAAGTTCTCGCTTTTCGAATCTGGCCCCTCGGACCAATATGGCCAGCTATCGTATTCCTGGTCGCTGCTCCAGTAGCTTTCGCGGCTCCTGGAGCGCTGTGAGGACCGTGGATAAGGGTCAAAGTCGTTGTCACCGCACTCTGACCTGGTCGTGCCAAATTTACCACGGGACTCAGCGTACACCGTGTCAGCGTTGCGTCCTTCATTCGCGCTGTTGGGCCTTTTTGGCCAGTGACGCTTTCTACGCTCTACCGAGAGATTGTACCTAGGGGACTCGTCTTCTGGTCGATCAGAGCCGTACTCTTCGTCCCAAGTTGAGGGATAATCGTGAGGCCGTTCTCTACCCTTTGTATAGTAATAGTAACTGTCCCTGCTAGGATAGTCAGACTCTGGAGCAGCTATCATTCTCCTGATCCAGTATGCAGCTTCGTCCTCACGTCCTCCTCGCCTCCTTACATACTTGCCCCTGGACCACCTGTCCTCATCCTCGTAACCCATGTTCTCTTGGCTACCGAATCTGTCCTCCTTCCACAGCATCATCTTCCTCTTCCTCTCGTCGTCGTAGAATGGCCCATGCTCGTGTTGCCAGTTCCAGCGCGGAGACTTGTGCCTGTATTTCCAATGAGCCTCGCACTGTTCTTCCTCATCTTTGTATGACATTTTTCTATGAAGACAACGCCTAACTTCCTTTTCCCACTGGTTCTCGTCGTGCCAAGGCGAGGGATCGCGCGATCTGTTGCCAGAATCCAAATTGATCTTAATCCATGCCATTTCTCGAGACTTCTCCAACATTCTGTCTCGAAAAGCTTTGTCTCTTTTAGCACCAGACGCTCTATTTGTCTCCTCATAGAAGCTCCTGTCTCCAAACGGTAGGTCGAATCGAGGATGACGACTGCAACAAAAACGACCGTCTCGTGTCCTCCCGTTGCTCTCCTCGCTTTCCTCCTCGTCCTTCCACTCGTTATCGCTGTCGCCAGAGTGTCGATATCCGCTTCCTTTGAAGCAGTCCTTTTGGAACTCCTTGCCATCTGGGGACCATAGTGAGGTGCCACTGGTAGAATGAAGACCTTCACAGGGTAATTTATATGGGACGAATAAACCTGTGTCGAACTTAGCCCAATTTCCATCGTCTTTGCTGTCTTCTCTCTCCTGTTTCAGCTCTGTGAAGGGACACAATATGTCCTCAGGGATCAAGGACTTGGTTTTCTTTGAGTCAGAGTTTCCACTGTTGCTTAACATCTCGATCTCCTCGAAGATGTCCATGCGTATTGTCTTTTCATCCTCTTTTTCAGCCTGCTTCTTGGGACTAGAAGGGGAAGGTGTGTCGGAGAAAAGGTTTAGCAATTCGACTTCGGTTGAAGTCTTCGAGTGGCCCGTTGGCTGAATCACAGGAGACATTCGCGTGGAACTCGACGTTTCATCGTCGGCTTGTTTCACTGCTGGCTCTGGCTCCCCTATAATTTCACGCAGAGCTGCGTATTTGTCGCTGGACGTCGATACCGAGGACTTCACTTCTCCTTTCTCTGTAGCTACAGAATCATTCGACTCCTCTGTAATAGCCTCTGTGGTAAGTTTGTCGGAGTCTTGGTTAGACTCGATAGGCTTTTCAACAGGTTCAATTTCCTCTACCTTTTCCTCCATTTCTGTTATAGATTTCGTTCTCTCGGGCTCGTCTTCGAGATCTACGGTATTCTGCTTCGTCAGTAAGTCCGTCGTTGTGTCAGCTTCAGTTACTGGTCCCGTTTTACCTTCTTGCTCCTCCGATTGACTCTTCTCAAATGACAAATTCGAAGACGGTTCAATGCTTTCTTCAGGTTTCATGCTTGTTGGTTCTTCCTTTGTTAGATCCTCGTTGCTAGGCGGAAGCTTCACTGTCAGGTTCGCCAGACAAGCCAAACTGTCCGGTCTACTCTCTTCAGAAGCCTCCTCTTGTTGTTGGCTGACCATTTCAAACTCTTCCTTCATTGAAGGCGTTTCTTCCTCGACACTTTCTTTCATTGCACATTCTTCGTTCTTCTCCATCTGCTCCAACTCTAACAGTTCCCTGAACACAGCGTACTTGTCGTAAGTTGCATCCTGCTTGGTGTCTTGTTCAGTATTCGTCGTAGCAAAAGGCTGAGACTCGTTAAATGGCTTTGATTGCGTTGCACTGGACACGGACTGCGACTGCACAGAACTGACTTGCTCCTGCCTTACAAAAACCTGTTCCTCTGTGTTACTAGCAGCAACCTCTTTAGCTGACAAAGTAGCCAGGCACTCTGTCAACTGTTGAAGAGTCAAACTTGTCAACTCCTGGACAGTCATTCCTAAGCTATTAGCCAACTCGTCTAAATTAGCAGACGTCAACTGGCTTAGAGTGATGTCTAACGAAGGTTTGGTCTTCTTGGACCCAGTGGACGTGTTGGTGGATGTGAAGAACGTGGACAAGTTAGTTGTAGGCACCATAGAGCTGAAGGAATCCTCGAACGTTGACGTGGTCATCGAACCTATCAGGTCAGACTTGCCAGACAATTGAATAGGTGGACTGAAATTGTCGTCGAATTGGTTCATCACCTCCTTCGAAGGACTTTTACTTGTGTCTTTTGTGGCAACAGGCTCTCTCTCAGGGAAGTCGTAATGGAAGTAGCTGTCCGTGTGCGGTGGCCTTGGTGGAGGCTTTATTGCTCCTCTGACTCCCTGTTTCTTGGGTGGAAGAGGCGGAGGATTGATCAGAATATTGGCTACTCCACGCGGAGGAGGTTCCGGTACGAGTTCCAGCTCCGCAGATGAACTGGACAACCGGGAGTTAGCGTCTGAGGAACAGGATTTCAATGGAGATGCGGGTGACTCATTGGCTGCAGAGAAATCGACTGGGAATGACTTGTCTACGGACTGTGGTTTGCTACTAGGTAAGTCAATATCGAATTCCTTTTTACGAGTGGATTTTATGGGACTGGGGAGCTTCACCAAACCATGCATGGATTCTGTGGAGTCCTTATCCATCCTATTAACCACAGGAACTGTAGAGGCGGGGACAGTCGAGACTGCAGACTTCGAAATAGAAGTATCTTCAGGAGGCAGGGACACGGAGAGTGGCTGATTTAGATGAGCCGGTTTAGATGTGCTCTCTGTTTTCTTGGTCGAGTCAGAGCTGGTGAAGATGGATTGAACCGCTTCGTTCTCGTCGAATCGATCGAAATTTGCGAAGTTGTTGTCGTCAAAGTGATTATCCTTTGGATTCAAATCATTTCGTAGCTTCGCTGAATCTAGAGGCTCTGAGAGGTTGTTGAAGTTCGCCGGAGCTGTATCCGTCGAACAGGTGGATACTAAGTCTTTCAGAACCTTCTTAGGAGGGTTCTTCAGATGCTGGAAGAAGTCCTTCTTGTCCACGTATGGCTTGATCAAACCAGTTCCCAATGGATCTAGCTCTGTGAAGACGTCTATCTGTGAATTCTTAGCTTGTGCCTGTAACAATGGTAAAATAACACTTGAGATTGCGCTTGATAGAGTTATAGTTAGGATCACTTGATGTTTCACTATCTAAAGCGGTAGTGGAATGTGATTGGAAGATTTAAGACTTTCACTTAGACTACAGGAAACATTCTATCTTCTCTAACAGATGGTCATCAAAAGTAACCCTCTATCAAATTCTCCACTCGACATGTAATTTCTTAGTGGATCTAGCATTGTGAAGACGTCTATCTGTGAACTCTTAGTTTGTGCCTGTAACAATGGTGAAATGACACTTAAGATTGTGCTTGATAGAATTATAGTTAAGATCACTTGATGTTTCGCTATACAAATCGATAGTGGAGTGTGATTGCAAGATTTCAGTTTTTCACTCAGACTACAAGAAACATTCTATCTTCTCTAACTGATGGTCACCAAGAAGTAACCCTCTATCAAATTTTCCACTCGACATTTAATTCATACTATTGTAATTTAAGCTTAATTAACGCGCACGTAAGATATACACCTCATCTACTTCTTTCTTAACCGGCGTGTTCTTAGCCGAGTTGTTGAGCTCGCTGTCGCTAAAGAGATTTTCGGCTTCCTTGTCGAACCACTGAATGTTACTCTGAACAGGCGGTGTTTTGCTTGTTAGAGTGGACGCTGGACTCGACGTGATCGACGATTGGGGACCTGGAACCGTTTGCTGTCGTTCTAGGTGGCCTCTTTTGGAAGATGATGGCGGCGGTGGTAGAATTGGTCGCACAGTATCTTCTAACTATAATTATTACATTGATATTTAAATAAATCTAATTTTAAGAATTGAAATTCATTAATCGAAATATACCTTCATGTTCGCGAATGAATCACCAAATGGATCAGTTTCGAAGAGGTCTTCAGCGGAAGGTGCTGGATTATCAGGAGTGATTTTGTCCATATGACGAATTCCTTGTTGCAGAGAGTTCAATTCGAATTGTAAATCTAAGAGGTCCGCTATTACACCGCTATGCACCTCGTTTCGTTTGTCTGAGGACTTGTCTAAATTGGCAATCGCATTTCTCACTTGACGAAGGGAGGTTTCTGATCCTGCTGCACCCTGTTATTGTAAAAGTAACATATATTTAACAATTTTGCATACATTTTATAATAAATTAACCCTAGGAAGTCCAATCTGTTGGAAGGTTTAATTTAATTGTAAACTTGAAAAAAAAAAAGAATAAACAGGATATACAATTAGTTTGTGTACAATCATTAAATACAATTCCTTTCTGATATGAAAACACATATTTTATGAAAGAAATGAAAGTTTAAAACTGTGAACATTTGTTTACCTTTCCTTGGACTTTCTGAGGTTAACAATAATTTATGAATAAGAGGAAAATTGTATAAATGGAAGAAGTATGATTATTACTTTGGTGTCCGGGGTAGGCTCGACGAAAATGCCGCTCGTGGGAAATTGAAAAACGTTTACAGCATTCTGTTCCAAGTGCAGCTTTGTTATTTCGATTTCTTTCTGTTTTTGATCGTACACTATTTGAAACAACTCTCGCATCGCGATTATCACCTGTAAAAAAAATTAGAAGGTAAATATTTAACAATCAACAAATACTACAAAATCATTTGAAATTTGATAATTAAAAATTAATGCACAGGTACACTAAAAAAATACTGGATGCAGGTTATTTTTCTTTTTTTATTAATTTGAAGAAAACGTTTACGTGAAACAAATCTCGAAGTACTGCACGTTAATGGAAGTTACGTCATGTTGAACGTTAACTGCGTCTGACTATACACGCTCCGCAGTCACTTATGACCCAACCCCCACTCTACTGTTTCCCTCTCTCTTATGGTTCAGTCACGTGGTCAGTCACATCACTTTGCATCTTTCCATAAATTATAACGTAACGATTATAACGCATTGCTTTAATTAATTAATTCAACAAAATGCTAGTGAATTTATGCAAATTTATTAACCGAAAATGTTGAATGGTGAAAACGTTTTATACACTTTTTAATAAATATTGTCTTAATGACAAGAATATCAAATATACATTTTTAAATATGTAACCACGAAGACGTGACAAACAAGCTGACTAAGAGATTCTGACGAAGCTGACATCATTCAAGTATTATTATTCTTTCTATCATTCATGCGTTGATAATTCTCCCTATTGTTTACATTCAGTAGAATGGTCTCGGTGATATATTTTTTGATTCGAGATGTTTAGACTTTTTCCTTTGGGTATACTAAACAATACTTTTTTATTATCTGACAAAATATTTCACAAACTACCTACTCTTATAATGTGAATCTTCTCTATGAAAGGATCGATGCAACACAAAGTAAGAGTAATTTGTTGCATTTAAAAAAATGCAACCTCGAATCGAAATTTCATAAAAATTCGTTCATGAGTGTCCCACTTTTGTTAGGAACACAATTTTCTAAATTTCCATTTAAAGATTTTCAATTTTTAATTTTTGACATCAATCTACCAGAAAAAGCAAAAAAAAAAAGAGAACAACCTCGGTTTTTTCGAAGCTTTAGAACAAAGAAGCCTCTTGGAATAAAGAAATAAGGGATGTAGAGTGAAATCGGGAACAGAGGGGAGGCGAACACGAAGAAATCGCGATCTCTTTGAACGAGCACGCAGGGAATGATGTGTAATCGAACAACAATCTCCCGCGGTGTATCGTCGGGGTGGCAGGCCGAATCGTATAATGCAATTATTTACATACCCCGGCCGAAATTACCGAGCCACCGAGGTCGATATTGCTCCTCTGGATTGGGCAAATATCATTTTAGAGCCCCTTGCTACGGCGAAAGCGGATCGGTCACGATAAATAACACGGTTAGGCCGCGTTTAAGGATCGTATTCGCGCACGAACGGCCCTCCGATCGAATCAACGCGCACAAGCTTGTCCTTTTGTTATTTCCCGAAGGCAATATTCGAGCTGGCGATGAATACAATGGCCCCAAATGTTCTAGCGTTCACTGCCTCTTCCTATGATCGATTTCTTTTTTTCCCCTTACGCGGTGGAATAATTTTCACGTGAGAGTAAATGGTCAATTTTGGAGATTTTTAAGAGGAGTTGACGAGGTATTCAGGTGAAAAAACGTATGTTATTTTCCGTTATTTGCTGTTTAAAAGGATACTTAATTTATTAAAATCAGATGAACAAAAAAATTTTTTTAAATATTCTATTCGATATTTTTCAACTTCTATAGCGTCCCAAGGGACTTTTTTTTATATACATTGTACATACTTTTCTTTTATATTTTCACTTTACATATCATTATATTTAACAAATGTGCACTTATTAATTTATTTTGAACTCCAGATTAATGATAACAATGTTAGTAAAAAAAAGAACAAATATTATTTTTACTCCATGGGGTACAGCGTACCCCACTAATGACAAAAAATTAATGTCGATATTCCAGAGTTGATCTATCACTAGGAAAAGGTTCTTTTTTTTTTTTATATTGAAATATTAACTTCTTCTGTTCGCACCACGTTAAAATATCATAATTCTAATCCTTTATTCAAACAACAGAAATGGTACTTTTGAAAAGTTGTAAAAAATTGTAAATTAATTCAGTCCATGTCAGAATTATTGTTATTACAAAGGGAAAAGAAGAATCAAATCGTCATTATTAGTTAAGCAGTAGGTACAGGTAGTACTTTATTATATTGGAATGTAACAACAAAATTGGCCACTTCCATTATGAGTCATTTCTTCTTAGAAGGAAAAAATAATAAGTAAAATCATATTTGTAAAAATTTCAGGTTTTTATTTGCTCGTTACTTGAACATAAAATTAACATAAATTAAGAACAAGTTCAACTTATATAAATTAAAAATAAAGCGTACAATAGGAAATTAAATTGTTTAATAAGCATGATAAGAGCTAGGTTAACTTAATCTAGTGAACTATATTAGAAATCTTACTTGGCTGGCCGCTTTGTCTGTTTTGATGCCAAAGAAACGATGTCCAGTGTCTGGTGACCCAAAAATATATCCAAAGGCTCTCGAATCGTTCATATCCTTCGCGATGAACGATATCTTATATACAGGATGGTGAAACAGAGTGTCCTGGGGCAAAATATTAAATCATTGTTAAATCTTTTCTCTGTCAAGCACAGTCTCCTTCCAATATGATTGTATAAGAAATTATTCGAATCAGATAGATTCAAAGATTGAACCAAATGAAATTTACTTTCGTCAACTGAGTTAACCAAATTGTTAATAAATTCTTCTTTCATAATTAATTAATATTTGTCTAATAATTCTATTTAAATAATTCGAAAAACGTTTCCTCTGCGTAACTTTAATATTAAGAAATGATTATTATGGAAGTATTAGAATTGACATTTTTTGTTTATTATGAATTAGAATTTATTAAAATTTTTACCCCAGTCTTTTCGTCCCGCAAGCGTAATCCATCGATGCTGACCTGGATGGAGATTCGTGGTTTATGTTCACCGGCGGCTCGAATCGCTATCTTCAGATCCGTCAGAGCTGTTTGGCACATCCGGTCCCCGCGTGCTTCTGGTACTTCCAATATGCCAATCAGCTTTGCCTTGAACGACACACCCTCCCCAAGAAACTGGGTTGGTTCGTACTTGACTGAAAAATATACAATTGAACAATTACATTTTTTTTTTTTATATAAAACACACACTCTTATCCTAAAAAGAAAGACAGAAAATCAGAGGGAAAAATATTAAAATGTCAAATTACGAAAGATAGAGACACTTAGGTATATTAAGTTCTTCGTTATTTAATTATGAATATTTAATAAAGAATGAAATTAAATATGAATAATTAGGAGTATTTAATTAAAAAAAACATTGAAAAGATTGCTTTGTGCATTTGTTGAAAATATTCCCGACTAGAATTTCAGTTAGGCAGATATTAGGTCCGCATTAGGCTAGCCTAATTTGCCTGTTAGGCCCGCATGCGGTACGTAACGCGGAATATTCACGACCGCATTAGGCCCATATTAAAATAGCTTTATTAGGCTGTCATTGGAAGACATTAAATCTCATGAGGAATATCTCATCAAGACACTGTATGGATTAAATTGTAAAAACTTTTATCTTGTTGAAAGCTTTCACGCAAGCGTACATCCGACACTGAGATGTCTGTAAATATTCCTACATATAAGTTTGAGAGCCCCATTCCACCTAATTTAGGTGTGCGCTCGGCCATCCCCATTTCAGCCACGTATGGCAACTGTTAGGAATGCCCAACCTAAGCGTGCGCTCGGCCATCCCCATTTGGGCCACGTATGGCAACTGTTAGGAATGCCCAAACTAAGCGTGCGCTCGGCCACTCCCATTTCGGTCACGTATGGCAACTTTTAGGAATGCCTACCTTAGGCGTGCGCTCGGCCACTCCCATTTCGGTCACGTATGGCAACTGTTAGGAATGCCCAACTTAAGCTTGCGCTCGGCCACTCCCATTTCGGCCACGTATGGCAATTGTTAGCAATGCCTAACTTAGGCGTGCGCTGGGCCACTCCCATTTGAGCCACGTATGGCAAGTGTTAGGAATGCCCAACCTAAGCGTGCGCTCGGCCACCCCCATTTGGGCCACGTATGGCAACTTTTAGGAATGCCTACCTTAGGCGTGCGCTCGGCCACCATCATTTGGGCCATGTATGGCAACTGTTAAGAATACCTAACTCAGGCATGCGCTCGACCACTCCCATTTGGGCCACGCATGGCAACTGTTAGGAATGCCCAACTTAGGCATGCATCATTCCTTCCAAATTAGGACCTTAGGCGTGCGCTCGGCCACCATCATTTGGGCCATGTATGGCAACTGTTAAGAATACCTAACTCAGGCGTGCGCTCGACCACTCCCATTTGGGCCACGTATGGCAACTGTTAGGAATGCCCAACCTAAGCGTGCGCTCGGCCATCCCCATTTGGGCCACGTATGGCAATTGTTAGGAATGCCCAACTTAAGCTTGCGCTCGGCCACTCCCATTTGAGCCACGTATGGCAACTGTTAGGAATGCCCAACTTAAGCTTGCGCTCGGCCACTCCCATTTTAGCCACGTATGGCAATTGTTAGGAATGCCCAACTTAAGCTTGCGCTCGGCCACCCCCATTTGAGCCACGTATGGCAAGTGTTAGGAATGCCCAACCTAAGCGTGCGCTCACCCATACCCATTTGGGCCACGTATGGCAACTGTTAGGAATGCCCAAGTTAGGCATGCATCATTCCTTCCAAATTAGGACCTAACGATTAGGCTTGCAGTATTGAGGTGTTCCTAATCGTTTCCGCATTAGGCCCACATTCGTCTTTAGGCATGCCTAACTGAAATCCTAGTCGGGTTGTTTTCCATAAATTTTGTCAACTATTTTAAATGAAATCTATTAAACAAAAATTTCTTCTCATTTATATACAATGTATACTATAATTACTCCTACATATACGTATACTTGCTGATTAAAAATTACAGTCACTGTTTTCTTTAACCATCGAACAGCCGACCGAAAACAGTGACGCGGCACTCCAACGCCGGATCTCTTTTGACACGTACTAGAATTTTTACTATATGTATTTCAGAACTAATCTTTAAATGTTTTATAAATATATTATTTACTTTGCTTATGTACATCGTGTACATAAAATTGTATTTCTTTTATCGTATGTTGTGAAAATATATGTCTTAGAATGTTTTATAAATATATTATTTACTTTGCTTATGTACATCGTGTACATAAAATTGTATTTCTTTCATCGTATGTTGTGAACATATATGTCTTAGGCATGTTATACATTTTGAGCTGTATTTGATATCATTTCCTATGAATTTATAGCATCTCGAACATATTTTTGCTGTTATTCAGCTTCTTCGATCTTCTCGCTGTTGTATTCAATACTGTCTGACTAAAGTCGTTAGAACTCTCCACGCAGTCATTTGTTTATGTTACAGCGATAGACGTTGCTGCCTCTTCGCTATGCTGAAGACATGGGTCAAAAGTGACCCGGCACTGATTGGGCGAGGGTTAATACGAGTAACATATTATCATCACTATCATTTTTCACAATACATACTAAACAAAATCAAGTTTCAGGGATACATTCAAATATTAAGAATTTTACAATTTGTATTTATTTTCTATGATTACACGTTAGTCATGTATACACTACACATTCTCCGTTTATGTTTGATAACCTCACGAAAACAGCAATTACACACGTGTATAAACTTACCAATGAAATATCTAACTTCAATCTGTGCTCGATGTACAAGGTGGACAACTAAATATTGCCACTTTGAATGTCTCTCGATCAATGAAAATAAGAGAGAAATTTTTGAAGAAAAGATAATTTAGCATAACAGGAGTTATCACAGTTACAACAATTTTTTCACTAGATTTCAATGACATTCCAATTTCTTTTTTAATGACAAACCAAATCTTTAAATTTATTTATTAGAAACACCTCGTACAGTTAATACAAAGAGCTGTATAACTGAAACTTGACTAACGTCACTAAAAGGCAATTAGAAAGAAACTTTTGCTGCAGCATTTATCGAAACTCCCGTTCATAAGTACAATTAGGAAGGACACTTACTAAATGTGAAGCAAACCCAAACAGTCATTACAAGATCCTTAAGATCTTAAAAAGAATTATTCTAACGTTATAAAAACTTTGTTAATAAAAGCTTATTCTAAATTAAAATGGTCTCCTTTAAAATAGTTCTCTCTTCACTCACAAGGTATTGAGTTACAGATTATGTATTTTTCTATCAAACCTCGTATATTTACTTGTATACGATACTAACTTTGCCGAAGAAATGTAATTGAAATCGTATAATACTTTCTGTACGAACGTAATGGGTATTTTCACATTTATGAACGACAGTGTCTTTACTTGCTTTCAAACGCCTTATTTACAGATACGATAGCAAGTAATAAAAACTACATAAAGGACATGAATTTGCAAAGAAATCGTCACAACTGTATGATGGTTCCTCTCATACTAAATAATTTTCATTGAAACAATTACCCTCTCACTTCCCTAATTTCGGGGATATTCAAGGTGGTAATACTTATCGGCTCACCCTATACATATACAGATATATTTCAACCCCAATTCGATCACAACACTCGAGAAACACTGTAGAATTTTTAAATAACGTTTCACTCGTCAAAATCGTCCCCATCAAGAGGGAGGAAAAGAAAAAAAAAAGGGAAGATTGAATTGTTACTCGTGCAGAAGAGGGAGCAGAGTAACAGGAAAGAGAAATAAATTGCTTATCCGGAGGACACTTAAAAGAATCCTCGTTTTACGCTTTCGCTAGGCGAATTGATCGCTTGGCCGATCGATATTAAGTTCAAGAGGTTTGAATCCATCGTCAACGGATCGTTTCGAACCCCTGCGGCGTTGAATTCGATAATTCGATACGTTCGAACCTCAACTTGCTCCTGGCTTGAATAAGACCGCATGCGGGGACATTAAAACCAGCACCCGCCGCGACAGATTTTATATTACTTTGTTAGACGTCGCGCAATTCCTAGTCTATCTGCTGGAAAATTGATCCTCTAAAGCGTAAAACGCGGTTGCATTCGAGTGCAAGGATAAATTGGCGATGATTAATTGCAATGTGAATAGAGATATTAGATTTAACTGTGATACTAGTATTTGAATTACTGTTTCAACCCCTGTTATAATACGAGAGTGTATTTCCAGTTGAATCTAATTTTACTTCGTAAATTAAGTTCAATTTAAGAGAGTGAACATTTTCAAATTTTAAGAATCGTTAATATTGAGATGTCTGCAAAGAAGAACTCTAAAGGTGAGCTATTTTTATCTGAAAGAACGTCGATAGAAGCAAAATTAAAATTATACCGTGTTCAACAAGAACAATGTCATACTGCAAAATCGAGCTGTTTTAACCCTTTTTCTAACAGTAAACAATACACATGAACGATATTTTATTAGAGACCCTCAAATATCAAGGACCAGCTAAATTGTAAAAGAAAAAATTGTCGAGAAATTAATAACTTTTTACCACAAAAAGTTTCAAACCGATATCCTGAAAAATTTCCTTTTATTACTAGTGTCACACTTTTAGAAAACCAGCGATATATTCTTTTATTATTATTTACATATTTACTATACAAGGTGCTTCAAAAGACTGTTAACACTTGTATGCATAGAGAATTTGTACATGTATACTACTCTAATCAAACAAGTTTCAGGATAAATTCTTTCTCCGACTGATGGAACAGTCAATGTACAATACTACTTTGGATATCATGAGAGATTTGCACGACTCGATCCGCGAAAATGGATTTATGGAGAAACAGCTGATAGATTTTGAACCACGATAATGTACTGTCTCGCACTTCGACGCTTGTTCGCGTCTTTCTAGCCAAAAGCTCGCTAAAACGAAATTCGCTAAAGGAGCTAAAAGCCTCGAAGCGAAGATTGGAAAAGCCGTTGGCACAAGTGTATCGCAAGCAATGATAATTATTTTAAAGGCAACGAAATAAGGCTGAATAAACGAAGTAATTTGTATCTTATTTGATTTGTCCTGGAATTTTTACAGTAAAGTATTCTTTCCTCGATTCGTCATCCAATAAACAGTTCTAAAGTTGTGC